ACACAAAAATCAGAATGAAACAAATAAGCAAGTTTAATATTATCTATTGGTATATTAAGTTAGTCAAAGTATCGTCGGAAATTATAAGTGAAAAATCTAAATATAAAGCAAATTACAAAAATGCAAGTTGGACTTAACTATACATATGTACATATGTATATGTATTAAAAAATAAAAATAAAAATAAAAACAAAAACAAAAAACACAAAGAAAACGTTTAAAAGCAGCCGAATAAGCGCAGCAGTCGTGGCTGTTTGTTTGCGTTTGAGCGTGCGCGCAAGTCGGCGGCGTGCAAGGCGTAAAGTGCGCACACTCAACCGAACACTACACTCACCCACCTGGCGCATACTGGCAAAATACAAAGTGAACAAAAACAAAGCATGAAAACACACTGTTATCAGGTGTTGACATAAATATTTAATAAAGAAAATAAATAAATTATAAAACATATACATTTGGCCGTTTATTTTCCATGTAATGAAGGACTTTAGTAAATGTCGATGTCATCCAACGGTAATCTCAGGAAATTTGCTATTTCGACGGGGTCGGATCATAGGGAGAGTGGTGCCAGATGTGTAGGGTTAGCCGGCCATGCAGAGAGGTGCTTATGAGTCATGCGAGGACACGTTGCATGCTGGATATATTTGATATATCAAGGTCGATATTGGATAAGTGGTAGTTTAACCTGCTCGAATATCCAGAACGAAGCTGCAAAAGAGTCACAAATAACAATGCGTTCTTTTCTCTCTATTCTTTTCTTCTTATTAAAAGTAGAATGTTGTTTGTATAATTATATTTTGATAAACGCTTGCAAGACAATTTTTTGATTGTTGATTATTTTTATCATCCTTTGTTGGTTTATTCGATTAAGTAGGGAGAGATATGCAACAATGGAAAGTACATGTAATTTTATTCTCAATTGTTTTACACTCTAGTGCTGAAATTTACTCCAATATACCTTAACTTATTTCGTCTTAAATCAATCTACTGTCATGAAACTTGAACAGCTAATACTTTTGAGCAAACTTTAATGTTTAAAAATTCATATTTGTCATGATTCCAATATTGCTTTTATTTCCTCGGTATACAGTGAAGGGTTTATGCACCTGCAGAGTTAAGCAAGTCAGAAAAAAATCTTTTTTTTTTGTGAAATTTTTTTTCAGAGATTGCAAAATTTAATATATATACTTTCATAACCGGCGTTTCATTTTGAAAATTTGGTATGTGCTTGATGTTGTAGCCGATCTCCAGGAGGAACCGTTCCCACGACTGTCGGGTCTAAGTAAGCGGAACGAACGGACCCGACTTTTTATACGGTCAAGGACTGTCAACTCAGTACCAATCTACGAAATGTTTAAAGGAATGTTTTCTGCCACTACAACAACAACAAGACCTTCCAAAATTGGTGTCTGAAGGAGATTTTTCTGCTTAAAATGAACCCAAATCCGAAAAAAAAATCTATAATACTTTAATTACTATCGAAGTGTTGAAAAAAGATCTGATTTATGGCAAATTGACGGATACCCAAAAAAGTTTGTTTTTACACCTTAGAGTGACTTACAAAATCGAATTATCTAAAATATTATTCCTTCGACTTCGTTTTGACCGACTACACTATGTTAAAAAAAATTCGTACAAATACAGTCATTGCTTCGAAACTTTGTCGGATCAACTTAAAACATTCGAAAAACTCGAGTTTTTGAAATTTACAGTCGGACTTCTAAGAAATTTTCATACCCTCTAAATGCTTAGAAATTCATACTTACCATAATTTAAGTATTATTTTTATTCGTTTATAGGCTTACATTCTTCTACAACTCCACCTAGTTAGGTGGAAGTACCTTCCAAAGTGCAAACTCTTATAGAAAACCACTTTCCAATTACTTTTAGCTCCACCAACGGGATACTAAGCAATAATTCCGCTTTCTCTGCTCTCAAGTTTTTTAACCTCAATTTTCATTTACATATAAATATGTATTTGGTAAATATCAAACACTTTTCAATTTTTAATAAGACAATTTTATTGTTTTATATTTATGAGTAAATAATTAAATTATTTAAACAAACGCAAAAGCATATAATAATAAACATACAAACTTATAACTTGCTATAAACCCGTTATTTGTGCCTACTTTAAGACTACAAAAATTAACAGCTTTTTAGTTGATAGACATTTTTTTAATAT